GCCCGCCTGACTGCCCGCACGCCGCCCCCTTCACCCGGGCTGTACTGAAATCCACTCCCCGGAAGAACTCCGCGACTGAGCCACCTGAGGCTCCAGGCGCTGCCTCCGCCGATGGCCCTCGGGCACCGCAGGGCCACCGCCCCCTCCCGGGACCCCCCGTCCCCAGCCTGCACCCCCCGGCTCCCGGAGACGCACCCGAGCGCGGGCAGGAGCAGCGTCAGGACACCCCGCCCGGCTCTGGGGGAGCAAGGCGGGAGGGCAGCCACAGACCCGGAGCTCCCTCCTGGCCGGGGGTACAGGGAGCCCGCCCGCCCCGGGGGGACGAGCAGCCCCCAGAGCGCCGGGCGGAGGCCCAGGGCGCAGGCGCAGGCCCCAGCCCTTCCGCGCAGCATGGTGGGCGCTGCGCCAGCAGGTGGCGCTGTCCCCGCCGGGCTGAGAGTCAGGGAGACCGAGGCCGTGGTTTTGTGGGTGCGGCCAGCCTCAGGGCTCGCCCGAGCCAGGGAAAGGTCGAGCCCCAGTGTGCAGGCAATGAGGACCACAGCCCAAGCTCCCGGGACCCCCAGCTTTTGTTTGTTTTTTGGGGGCAGGGAATTGCTAGGTAGTCCAGGCTGGCCTTCAAATCACAGCGATCCTCTTGTCTCAGCCTCCCAAGTGCTGGGGTTACAGGCGTGTTGCCACACCTGGCTCCCTGGGGTCCCTTCATTCCGTCTGTGCCCCATTCCCTCCTGGGCATGGCAGGGGTTCGGACTCCTCCCCGTGTTACAGACAGGACTCCGGGACGCCCTGGTCGCTCACACAGCCGGGCCCCTGAGGCTATTCTGGGCAGCTAAAGGCAGAGGCCGCCGCTACCCTTGACCCTCGGAGGCAGGGCTCTGTCCGCTGTGACCCCGGGCTCCTGCCCTCCCCACCCCAGCTGAGCAGGAAGCCCTGACAGTCCTCACACTACGGCTGCAGGGGCCCCAGCACCCGCTTCCCCAGCCAGGTCTGGAGAACACACACACTCAGGCAGAAGCGGGTGGCCTGGACCACCAACCTGTGCACGCGGCTTTGGAAGTCCCCGCCACCACCTTGGGAGGCGAGATGACGGACAGCTGCGTTGCTAAGCGACGCGGACACAGCACAAGCAAGCTTCTCCTGGACAGCTGTGCCTCAGAGAGGAGAGGGCAGCCCCCGCCACCGCCCCGGCAGTGCCAGGCGTACCGGGATGCCCCGCGTCTCCAGGATGAGGCTGGGCACGTGGCGCGCAGACAGCCCCAAGCGGATGGCGCTGCGGATCCGCTGGACCAGGTCGGGCCGGAAGGCGTGGCCGGAAGCCATCTTCAGGAAGAGCACGACCCGCTCCTCGCCGTCGCTGTTGTACTGCGGCACGCACAGGCTGTCCCCCACCTCCTCGAAGGCCTCCACTGCGGGCAGGAGGACACGCAGGGTCACAGGAGGCCGCAGAGCTGGCGGCGCTGTCAGCCCGGCAAGGTGGGGACAGGGTGTGGGGCTGGGCAGGGAAGCCGTGTCCTGTGCCCGCACTCCGAGAGCACCTGCCAGCCTGGACTGAGGCCACCTGCCGGCTGGACTTCACGAGAAGGAGAAAGGGACACGTGCCCTGTGGACAGAGGGAGGCACAGGCCCTGGTGGGCCCGGGTGAAGGCCGGGCAGCTGAGACCCGCAAGCCTGCAGCCTGCACCCCACGTTCTGCATGGCGCTGGGCGACCTTCAGCTCTCATGCCCCCTTTCTGTGCTTCTGACCCAGGAAGCTCACCACGAGGGCGCAGTGACCTTCAGCACCCCCGGGCTCCAGAGCTGCAGCACTTCAGCCAAGTGTGCACGAGTGCCCGCCCCACCCGGCCCCAGCACCACGACAGGGACCAGGAGGAGACGCCTACCGATGTTGTAGATCTCTGAGCTGCCGAAGCGCACGCCGTTAGGGTTGAGTGTGCCGTCGCTGAGGGAGACAGGGTCGTTAGCACGGAGCGGAGCCCTGTCCCCCTTCCTCACACCAGGCACGCCTGTCAGGAGCATGCCCTCCCAGAGCCCCACTCCCAGGCCACACCACCTCCTGCGCCTCCAGACCCACCCCGACAGCGGGCTCCCCTGTGGTCGCCTAGCACCCACCCAGGTCGGCCCACACAGCACGCGGGCGGGGACCAGGTCCGCTCCCTGGTCGAGGGACAGCCACACACTGCCCTCCACTCTGGGCCACAGCCCACCACCCACCGCGGCCGGGCAGGGAGCCGGGAGTGGCACAGGAGGGCGGACAGCTGCCAGTGGGGTCTTCAGATGGGGCCCAAGCACGAAGGCGGGACAGCGTGGGGACAGGGCTGGGTCAGCCAGGAGGGGTCCCAGGGAGCCCCAGCGGAGCAGCAGGCGCCCGCAAGACAGGAGGCGCCCGACCCGCACCTGCAGAGGGGGACGGCGCCCGAGCCTCACCTGCGGCCCAGCATGACGATGCCACCCGTCTTGGGGTTGATCCTGCAGTAGTCACCGTGCGCCCAGACACCTGCCAAGAGGCCCGGCATGGTCACCCAGGGGGACGACAGGGGGCCCGGGGCACAGGCTGCCTGGACAGCGTGTGGCCAGCAGGCACCGCAGGGCAGGGGCAGTCCGTGGGGGCGCCGGCGGAGGGCTCCTCAGGGGAGGAGGAGGCCTCGGCAAGGGCGGGGTGCAGGCAGCAAGGCCCCTGGGGCAGGGACCAGGACCAGCCGCTGCACCAGAATAAAAGCAGCGGCGGAAGGGCCAGGCTAGACCGAGCAAAAGCCTTGGCCCGGGGACACACAGCCAGCTAGCAGGGGACCCCGCGCATGGAGGGCAGGCGAAAGGAAATGACCAGAGGTGACCTGGACACGGCACAGCCCTGACCGCCCCCGCACGGTCAGCAGGCCACGCCGCCTGGGCCGAACTCACCCCTCCCACACCCAAGGGGACACCACGGCCGCCCCACCCGCGCCTGCTGCAGGCGGAGGCACCGGGACGCGGACAGGGCCGTCACCAGCCACCACGAAAGGCCCAGGGAGCGCCAGGGGCGCCTGCAACCGGGGGAAAACACCAACCCGGCCGGGCTTCCGCGCCTGCCCCGGCGGGCGGCATGCGCAGCGCCCCGCTCTCATCCCGCACGCGCCGACCCACACCGGTCCTGGCCCCCACGCCCTCGTCCGCTC